TTTGTTTAGGTACAGCATTACTTGATCGCGCAATTATCAGTTGAAATAGTACAGCACCAAATGGCAAAAAGAGACCTGGTCATTAAGGGGGGTAAATCCTCTGGATGGCAAGTGGTTAAGGAATGTTAGAATCGCTTACGCTTCATTATGGAGCACAGAATATCCACACCAAACTTGTTGACTGAAAATTTGTGTGTGGGATACTGCGGGAATATTTAATTTCTGAGAAAAGATGGCCATATAACGTGGGGAATACATCTTCTATTAGAAATTTGGTAAGAAAGTGCTTTTTATTAGGTCTAGGTATCGTGCTACCCTGTTAAAGCTGCAAGTAAAATAATGCAGGCATTCCAAAAAGAAAATGTAGGTAAAAAAAATTTAAATATGCCTCCAAAACTGTCTTTCCTGCATCAGTTTTACATTTTGTAGATGGATATCCATACAGGTCAAAAAGGGACTTGTACATGGGAGAATTTCAGTTGGGAGCATTTTTCTTTTGTTCATGTTCCAAGTACTTGAGATCCTTTTTGGTGCATAATATGAGCATTAAGTGGATATGCAAACACTGAAACCAACATTTTGATGACAGCAACTAGAAATTTTTAAATGGGTGGTTTGCTGACCGTACATCAGTGTAGCATCTTGCAGTTCATCTCCTAATCTTAGAATGTTAGTCATGAGCTCAATTGGTTTTAACGTCTGAACACGGTCAGGAAAATATAGGCACTAGTTTGAGTTTGGTAAATGTTTATCTACAGCTATTTGTCAGTAAGTAGAAATATGTAAAAAGTAACTTTAGGCCTTATGCACACAGATATTTAGAGGCTCAAATATGCTGAAAAATAAAATTCCCAGAGATTTTCCGTGCCTAGGGAGCTACAAAAGGCATTTAGTTAGCCATACAAATACATGGCTGTATTTACATAAATCCTGATTATCCTGTGCATTGCCATTAAGCCACACACCATGCACGTATTTTCATAAACCGAACACTAGCTTGAGTATGCACAGGATTATTGGCATCTACACGAGTGTGGCCGCGTGCAGCCATTCACTTGTATGGCCAGCTGTATGCACCATTTGTACCTTCCTGTATAGTTGAAAATGACCATTTTAGGCTAGGTTCACACTTGTGTGGGTTGGGAACACTTTCAAAGTCATTGTTCTTGTCCCGCAGGCAAAGCACGCTGCTATTTAGTAGACTTGCACATATTCCTTAATGGCTCTCCCACGTGTAGACAAACGCAGTGCATTATTATTATACAGGAATTATATAGCGCCAACAGTTTGCTCAGTGCTTTTACAATATAATGGGAGACAATACAGTTCAGTACAAGAGGGTTAGGAGGGCCCTGCTCCTTGGAGCTTACAATCCTAAGAGATTTTTGTTTGTGCCACAATATGCCTTGATCAGGATGCAGGAAGATGCCTCCCTCTTCTGCTGCTCTGCTCATTCCCTTGATCAAGCTCCCACTCTGCATTTGTAGAATTTTGAGCTCTGCTGGTGTAGTTATACAGGGATGATACTGGTGGAGCCGACACACTAAAAGCTTGATCCACGCCTTTTCTCTACCAGGTTGCCATGGCACCCCTAAAGACCTCAAGCAGCACCCCAGTTGAGAGAGGTGGGCTAGATTACAAACAGTGTGGATACATTTGGTCCGGCTGGGTAAAGTCTCTAAATCTTTTTACATAGACAGCCATTTTTCTAAGATTTGAGGAAGGGGCGGGTGTGACATTTGTGGTATAAGGGTAACTGATAAACGTAGGATTATTAAATAAGGCTGGTCAGAGAAATGTGAGGTGTGGGAAATGTGCTGTAGCCCATGGCAACCATTCCTCTTTTAGGTTATTTGAATCTGGTTGTTAAAACTTATTTGTAAACCACTTCTTTACAGTAGAACACTAAATGAGGGCTTGAACATTGCTCAAATTTCTTATTAATGATTTTATTTTTCTTACACACAACCAAAATGTTTTTTGCATAAACAAAAGGAAATGGTCATCTTGTTTTTTGCATAAACAAAAGGAATCTGGCTCCCCTTCTTCCTCTCCTCTGAGCTACCGACCATCATCCTCGGGGACTTCAACATCCCCATCAACGACAACACCCCGGCTACTTCCCAATTCCTCCACCTAACCTCCTCCTTCGCGCTCACACAGCACACTCAATCCTCCACCCACTTCGGAGGGAACACCCTGGACCTTGTCTTCTCCCACCTCTGTCCCCTCAACCAGTTCTCGAACACCCCCTTCCCTCTCTCCGACCACCACCTCCTCACCTTCTCCATCTTCCCTTCCCCCAACTCCCCCCCTCAAAAACGCCAAACCATCACCAGCCGCAACCTCCGCAACCTGAACCCGGCCCCCCTCCACTCTGCCGCCGACTGCCTACACGACAGCATCCTCCCACTGTCATGTCCTGACTTAGCCACCACCTTGTACAATGACTCACTGTCAGCTGCCCTAGACTCTCTGGCACCCCTAACCACACGCATCATCAAACCCAGACCGCTTCAACCCTGGCAGACCGACAGCACTAAACGCCTCAAACGTCGCAGTCGCGCACTGGAGAGACTGTGGCGCAAAACCAGGTCCCCTCATACTTTCTCCCTCTACAAATCTGCATTTCTTATCTACACCTCCTCCCTCCACGCCGCCAAGCAGGCCTACTTTGTTAACCTAATAAACACCTTCTCCTCCTGCCCCCCCGCCGACTCTTCTCCACCTTCAACTCCCTGCTCTCCCCCCCCCCCCCTCCTCCACTCAGTACCTCTCTCACCGCCCACGAGATTGCCACCCATTTCCACAACAAGATTGACGCTATCCGTAAGGACATCGTCAACTTGCAATCTACCTCCCCACCTAGCCTCCTCGCCCCCGTCACCCCTTCATCTCCCCCCTCTCCTCTGCCCTCACAACTGCACTGTCCCCCTCCTCTCCCAATGCCCCGCCCACCATAACCCCCCCCGCACTGCACTCCCTCAGCCCTGTCACTACTGAGGAAGTCGCCAAAGTCCTCTCAAAAGCCCGCCTCACTACCTGCCCCCTGGACCCTATCCCCTCTCAACTCCTCCGGTCACCCCCCTCTTCCCTCATCCGCTCCCTCACCCACATCTTCAATCTCTCCCTCTCTACTGGCGTATTCCCCTCCCCCCCTAAAGCACGCGCATATCACCCCCATCCTCAAAAAGCCCTCCCTGGATCCCGCGGACCCCAACAACCTCAGACCCATCTCCCTGCTGCCACTCACCTCCAAGCTCCTTGAACGCATAGTCTACGATCGCCTAAGCGCCCACCTTACAGACAATAACCTCCTTGACCCTCTACAGTCCGGCTTCCGTCCCCTACACTCCACTGAAACTGCCCTCCTCAAAATCACTAACGACCTACTCAACGCCAAAGCCAAGGGCGACTACTCTGTCCTCCTTCTCCTGGACCTCTCTGCGGCCTTCGACACAGTTGACCACCCCCTCCTCCTTAATAAACTACTCTCCCTTGGCATCGGAGATGCTGCTCTCTCTTGGTTCTCATCCTACCTATCCCGACGCTCCTTCAGTGTCACCTACAATGGTGCCACCTCCCCCTCCCTCCCCCTCTCTGTTGGGGTCCCCCAAGGCTCTGTCCTTGGACCCCTTCTCTTCTCCATCTACACCTCCTCCCTGGGCAAACTCATACAATCTCACGGCTTCAACTATCACCTCTATGCTGACGACACCCAAATCTACCTCTCCACCCCTCACCTCACCCCCACTATCTCCGCCCGCATCACTCACCTCCTAAATGACATCTCAGACTGGATGTCGCTACATTTCCTCAAGCTCAACCTCTCCAAAACCGAGCTCCTCATCTTTCCCCCTGCCAACACCCCCCCCCCCCCCCCCCCCCCCCCCCCCCTATCCATCATCGCCAACAACTCCACTATCACTCCCGCCCCCCAAGCCAAAGTCCTTGGCGTCATTCTTGACGCGAACCTCTCCCTCCAACCGCATGTCAAATCACTCACAAACACATGCAGGCTCCATCTTCGCAACATTGCCAAGATACGCTCCTTCCTCACCCCAGACACCACCAAACTTCTAGTACACTCCCTCATCTCACGCCTTGACTACTGCAACTCCCTCCTCACTGGCCTTCCCAAGTGCAGGATCTCCCCGCTCCAGACCATCCTGAACTCAGCTGCCAGACTCATCCACCTCACCACCCGCTCCACCTCTGCCACCCCCCTCTGTCTCTCCCTCCACTGGCTCCCGATTGCCCAATGCATCAAATTTAAACTCCTAACCCTGACCTACAAAGCCGTTCACAACACTGCCCCTGACTACCTCACCAACCTGATCACCAAGTACCACCCTACCCGTACACTTCGCTCCTCACAGGACCTCCTTCTATCCTGCTCCCTGGTCTCCTCCTCCCATGCACGACTGCAGGACTTCTCCAGGTCCTCCCCCATCCTCTGGAACTCACTGCCCCAATCCATCAGACTGTCGCCTTCCCTATTCACATTCAGGCGCTCCCTCAAAACCCATCTCTTCAGGGAAGCCTACCCCTCCCTCACCTAACGGCCATCCTCCCTCATTCCTCCCACCACTTCATCCCCCTCAGCCACTTCCTACTGTACCTTTACCCCCTCCCTCCTAGATTGTAAGCTCGTAAGAGTAGGGCCCTCTTACCCCTCGTACGTACGTTGTTTGTTGTTGTTGTACTGTGCCATGTATTGTCCCCCCTATTGTACAGCGCTGAGCAAACCCTTTGGCGCTATGTAAACTCGTAGTAATAATAATAATAATAATCTTCCCTTTTTTGTATGCGATTGGTTTTCAACCAAGACAAAAGCTAAATTCATGGACATTAAGGACCTCCATGCACCATATGGGAATATGCAGATCTTTGAACTGCCAGCAAGATCCATTTTTGTGTATGGTCAGCTGTGCAAATATGCTTTAATCCTGGTTAAATTATTTGGAATTTAACAAATGTAAACTTTTTGGTTTCACCAGGTGCTCCCTTGTTTCTATCCTTTCCTCATTTCTACAATGCGGATCCTGGATTTGTGGATGCTGTGGATGGACTACACCCAAGTGAAGAGCTGCATTCCTTATTCCTAGATCTGCATCCAGTAGGTTTATTTCATATATTTTTTTATTTTGTCTTTCCTTTTGTTCTTTAAAACGCAACTTAACTGAGATGCCACCTTCTGATCTTTCTGGAAACACAGACTGGGGAATTTAATAAAGCATTAGCCCTGCCCTGTGGCTAGTTTCACTAGCTTTAGTGAAAAGTACAAAGCATTATCTCCAGTTTGTAGGTAATTAGGAAACCTCTAATGTGGTGTCTAGGCCTGTCTTTGTACTTTGTGTAGCAACTTGGCATGAATTTGGGGCAAACACCAAAATTTGTCTTTACAACACTTTAGAAATATGACAAATGCCACACTCTTTATGAACTGCATAGAGAATCTAGCTGTCCTTATGATCCAGTAGCCTTAGGACTTTGTATTCTTGTTCTTGGGCAGGGACTAAAATTGACTTCTGACTTCATTGGCTGTGTGCCTATTCTTGGTCAGCAACTTGTAAAATTGATGGGAGGATCAGCCAGGCAACTTTTTTTTTTTTTTTTTTCAAATTTACAGGTGGTCAGCAATACCACCCACTTAATTCTGTCATGCTGATCAAATGGTTTTAGTATATTAAGCCACTGACCAAAGGCCAATGGCAGCTTCCATACAACTTTAGTATCATTATTATTATTATTACACAGGATTTATATAGCGCCAACAGTTTGCTCAGCGCTTTACAATATAACGGGAGACAATACAGCAACAATACAGTTCAATACAAGAGGGTAGGCGCTTACAATCTAGGAGTACACCTTCCCTTTAAAAGTCCGCGTATAAAACTCACTAGTATTATAGCTTAAAGACTGCATATTGAGACCCCTGCATTTTTCTGCTTTTGCAGTTCTAATTGTTTCCCTTTTTTTATTTTTTTTTGGCCAAGGCCCTGTTCACATGTAGCTATTTTGGGATTGCGGGCGCGGAATTACTGCGGTTCTACCCACAATTTCAGATATCACTGCAATGCTGGCAAAATGCTTTTTTTGTTTTTCATTTTTAATGGCACCTGAACTGTGATGTTTAGTTTTTTTTTTTTTGTTTTTTTTAATGTGGCAGTCAAGGGCAAACCACATCACATTTTTAAACGCTATTAAAATGTGTTTTTCCAGCATTGCAGTGCGAATTGGCCTGCAATCCCAAATCACTAGTTATGAACGGGGCCTAATGGTTGATTAAAGTGAATAAAGTGAAATTGTCAAATATATGTAAGCATGATGGCAGATAAACTTCTAGTGGTGGTTGGCAGAGCCATAAAGTCTGGGAAAGTCAAGCCCACCAAGCAAAATGAAAGCAAATCTGAGAGTCACAAAAAGATTTTCAGGCTAACAAACATTTCCCAGTATGTTGTATTGTCTGCTCTGAAGCAGGAATATATATATATATATATATATATATATATATATATATATATATATATATATATATATATATATATATATATATATATATATATATATATATATATATATAATAATTTTTTTTTTTTTTTTTTTTTAAATGGGGCACCAGAACATAGTATAGTAGGGGCCAGCAGATTGAACTGTAGCACACAGCTGAAGATCCTTTAGTGGCTGTAGCTCTTCAACTGACTGGAGATCAGAGGAACTGCATTCAGGAGAGGCATGTATTCCTCCTTTAATTGCAGGGTGATTAAAAATAAAAATTCAGGACATTGCAGGGTTGCTTTTAAAGGAAACAAATATGGAAAGGCTTTGAGGTAGCCGTTGCTTGTTCTGAAAGTGCTGTTGGTTTATCTGTCATGCAGAACTAGTGGCTTTATTTATCTGGAGCAAATGGGCAGATTGGGATAGCCAGGCAGCTAGCATTTTAAAGAGGGTTAGCAATAGCAGCCCTTGTATTAAATTGCACTTGGCTTTCTTCTGGGGATCAGAGTGTTGATACGTGAGTTTTTTTAGTTACTACTGCAAGCAAAAGAGAAATTTTTTTTTTTTTTTTGCTTGTGATTGGGTATTCTTTGCAAAGAATATTTTTCACCATATTCCCTAAAGTAAATGAAAATTCCCTTGTAAAGTGAACAACCTGTTTGCCTTTAGGGAATCCCTTGGCCTGCGTTCCCTATTAGCCAGCTTCAATTCTTCTCTCCTGTGCTGGTGCAGAGCAGCTTCTGCACAGGAAATAAGGATGGATGTTGAATTGTGAGGATCCAGGCTGCTGTGTCACTACGTGTTCAACCCCCCCACTCCCCCCTTTCTAGTTGTAGTTTGTGTATTTTCCTTTTTCTTTTCCCTGGAGGCTACACAATCCTACTTTTAAGCCTATCCATTCATATTTTGAGATCTGCCAATTTGTGACACGTAGGGTGAATTAAAACCTGATTATTGTATGCCTGGATTGTCAAGTAAAATTCTTTTGAATCCATGTAGACTGACTAATTTTCTGTTCTGTTCGATAACTTAATGATTTATATGGTACCCTAGTAAGTGTAACCAAGTGTCTTCTCTCCCTGGTTAGAGTAGCTGGCATTACTTTGTTACCATGTGGTGGGTAGTCTCCAGGCACATTTTTCAGCTGTTCATTTGAGTTGTGTATTTTATATACAGTAGATGCATTATATTGTATGTAGTAAAGCACTGAGAAGTGCAGTCTGTTGGTGAAGGGGATTCCGTTGCTAGAAAATAGGATTCATTCAGAACATCTGGAAACACTCTCTGGGAACGCAGTGGCACAAGAGATGTTTTTTTTAGGTGGGGCGAATCCCATGGGACAACGGAAAGTCTTTCTGTGGCTTAATAAAAGCAGCAATTCTTCTGTTTCTGAATGGAGAACGTGGTATGAAAAAAATGTTTAGAAAGGGGCATGCTCAAGGCAGTTACAGAACAGTGTAGGAGGCAGGGGGATGCCTACACTTTAATGGAACTATTCTGGTTTTGTTTTTGCTGTCGAACATGAATAAAGTATTTTGCTGTGGAGGCACTAGAGATCCGTACAAATGTTTTTTTGACTGTCACTGAGCAGTAGGCTACTTCCAGTAACCTATATTATACAGAACTGATGGAACAATGAGGCAAGGTGAAAAACTAGCAATGACTAGAATTAGCTTGTAGCCCAACTCCATGCACTGTAAAGGTTCCAATACACATTACAATCTGGCCATAAAATGTTCGTCATAATTTTAGTAAATCTAAAGTTGTACAGAGATTAACTATAAAATTGGAGAATCTGGTGCAGCTGTCCATAGTGAGGAATCTGCTTCTAAATTCAGCTTTTTCAATGACGTTTTGACAGCAACACCTAGTAGCTGGTTACTAGGCGGAGCTGCGCCATATTCTGTGTGCTCCAATTTTAGTAAATCTTCCCCACCCCCAATGTAGTGAGGACATACCTAAATTATCCAGTCACTCACGAAGTCCATAGCATTGCGGGGTGGTGATGTTGGTTGGTGGTTTTGATTGTGGTGGTGCTGGTCGGTGGTATTGGTGGTTGTTTCTAAAGTTTGGTGTGTGTGTGTTCGTTTCTAATTAGCAGGTAGGAATTGGTAATAAACACCTGGTAACCTTTAACATGACATGCAGTATTTATTTTAAATACCTGGGTAATAAACCTGCGATCATTCTCATACATGGATGGAGATACAGTTTAATGTTTGCATTAGGGTTATGGAGTAATTGTGTGCTGGAGAAACTACTGTCATTCTAGAAAAATGGCAATAATACCCATCATAATTAGAACTCTAAATTCTAAGCCCTTCTACCACCACAGCAAGCAAGTGCTGGAAGAGGTCGTTTATGATTTTAACCACTTGCCTACAGGGCACTTCTACCCCCTTCCTGCCCAGGCCAATTTCCAGCTCTCAGCACTGTCACACTTTGACAATTGCGCGGTCATGCAACACTGTACCCATATGAAATTTTTATAATTTTTTTGTGACAGAGCTTTATTTTGGTGGTTTTTAATCACCTCTGGGTTTTTTTGTTTTTCTTAAACCAAAAACTGCTGAAAATTTTGAAGAAAAAAAAAGTTTTTTCTTAGTTTTTGTTGTAAAATTTTGTAAAGTGATTTTTCTCCTGCAGTGATGGGCACTGATAGGCGGCACTGGTAGGTGGCACTGATGGGCATTGACAGCCATCTCTGGTGGGCACTGACTGGCGGCACTGAAAGGCAGCTCAGATTGGCATTGATGTGCACTGATATGTGGCACTAATGGGCACTGGCACGTGGCACTGTTCAGCACTGACAACTGGCACTGATGGACACTGACAGGTGGCACTTCTGGGGCGACACTGATCATCAGGGTACACTGATTATCAGTGCCCTGATGATCCGTGTACATGTCCCCTCAGCGGAATGCCGATTACCGGCTCTCCTCTCCTCTCGAGCTGTCAGCGTGACAGCTCGTGAGGAGAGAAATGCCGATAACCGGCATTTCCCTGTTTACATGTGATCAGCTGTGATTGGACACAGCTGATCACATGACCGAGCCGACATCTTTGGCTCTTTCCGTAGATCGGTGATCCGCTGTGTCCGAGGGACACAGCGCACCGCTGATCGCCGCGCTGTGCACTCCCTGAGCTGCGCATGCGTGGTGAGAATGGGAGGACGTCATATGACGTCCTCCCAGAACGAGAGAACCACCTTGCGCCCGTCATTAGACTGTATGGCGGGTGGGAGGTGGTTAAACACTGGTCCTGAGGTCTGGGATGCTGAAAAAACTGAACTACTGAGGACAGATTGGATAACTGGAAAGTTTTAAAATGTTAGAGTTCCCTTTGTCTGAGAACGTATTTACACAGCACTGTTCCTAGTAATGTACTGACTATGTGGACAACTCTACTTCTACCTGTCCTTGACTTGCACATTATTTTAAGATTAATGATAGCAAGGAGGGCCCATCAAATGTTTGCTGTAGGCATCTATAATCTAGTTGTATTTATGCCCCTGCACAATTTTCTATAAAGATTTTATGTGAGAGAGGTGCCAGATATCTGATGGAATCAAGAGAAGTGCAAATTAACATTTTATATATGAAACCAAAAACAATTAAA